CATCCCAGTCAAAACTTTGTTAATATAACCAATTGTATCCTGTTATAAGGAAAACAGATTTTTCTTGCATAATTTGCATACAGAATTACATATCTTCATGAGAATTTTTAACTCTTAGTAATCTTAATTTCTAATAAAAACCTAAACAATAAAGCAAATTTCTTTGTGCATTCTACTTAGATTGAATTTATAGTTTTATGATTTTAAAAATACAGCAGAGACATATATCTGACTATCTGACTAGCAAACCCAGGTTTAAAAAAAATGTATGTAGAAAAATCTGAAGACATTTTATTTTTATTAATAATTTAAAAAAACAGCCTATTTTTCAAAGATCTACCCAAGTTCCATGATCCTGAAATGTATTTGAGTTAATTATCATATTTCTAGAAATGTTAGCTGTGCTCAGTTATCTCTAAACCAATTTAAATAAAACATTTTACTAATATTAGCATAAAAGGTATTCAAGATTTTCAATTTGCTCAATTTTCAAACGTCAAAAATTATGCCAATAAAAAAAAAGTGGTCAGAAGAAGCAGAGCATGTAGTTCACAGGATTTTGAAGAAAAAAAAAAAAAAAAAAAAAAAAAAGAAGGGGGTTTGCTAACTGAGAAGCTCCCATCTGAGAAGCATGATCCAATACAGAAACAGAGAGAACTAAACAAAAAAATTATAGCCTATATATCAGCTGACTTATAACCAGAGAGCTCTGAAAAACAAATTCTTTTCAAATATTTTATTATCAAGTTTTAGCGAGAACAAACAGCAACTATTCCTGACAGTATTAAAGTGATTTTTCAAGTCAGTTCTTCTCATAGGTACCAATAGAACAGTTGTTTAAAATGAGAGCTCTAAAAAAATACTTTTAGACACAAAACTCCAAATCTCCAAAGGTATACCTACTTCAAGTTCAATTCAAAGCCAATAAGCCTTCTGTGGCTTAAACAGGGAAGCAAGACGTGTCCCCTAGAGGGTGCAAGACAGTCCCTCTCAAGATCCAAAATTTCTCCCACACAGAGAGTAAAGTACTCTCTCTCTTCTAAGAGAGAAAAGACATTCATTGCTAACAAAGCAACAAAGATTGGGAAAAATAAATTCTCCTTATGATAAATAATGCAAAAGACAGAAACAAACACTCAAACAAAAAACCAAGAACTATTTCCGAGAGGCTGTAGATCAATAGTCAATGAGAACTCAAAACCAAATTTACAAAAGTCACAATTCAAAGAACAAATTATTACCAATGCTTTTCTTTTCTACCAATCCACATTTAGAAAAAAATAAGGGACAAAGAAATCTCTTCCTCTCTCAACTAGGCATTACAGATATAGATCTAAGAGAGCTCACCTTAATAAGAATTTTTACTTCCTGCTGGCTTTTGTCATATCTCTCGGGATTCTAACCTCAGGATCCCACCTGCAGGCTCTAAAGTGAGTGTGTATCTCAGCCTTTAGGGTCTTAGTTGGGTATAAGAATTAAATTAAGGTAAGACAGTTTAACCAGAAAAATGCACAAGTCTTACATAGCATGGGAGCCCACATAAGGAAATGAAGAAACAAAATACAGCTGCTATAAACTGTTTTCTCTGATCACAGATTCAAGGATAAAACACATAGACTCTACAAGAGAAAAGGCCCATCATGTGAAAAAATACCACTTAAATTTGATAGAAAAGAAGTTCACAAATTGTTACAGTCTTGGGTAATTTTGATTTGTAACCTGTCAATGAAACCTGAGAATTGCTCTCCCTTCAGCAGTCCAAAATTCCCTTCACTGTAGCAAAGGTACTCCTAAATATTGACAAATGAAGAGTTGATGCCTTTCAAACTATTTCCTCACAAGACCCAACTGTAAAGTTATTTTTGAAGACACAATATGGATTTTAATTTTTATGGGCTCTAACTTGATATTGCTGTGTTAAGAATGGACAATTTTATGTCTGCACAAAAGTCATCTCATTGGGTCAACTTCAAAACTTCTTGGTAATATCAATAACGCTACCACTAAATTTACACAATATGTCTTAGGTGCTAGGTTTGTGCTAGACAATGTCATAGTGCTTTATAACTATTCATCATTTAATCCTTAAAACAATTTAATGAGATAAGTATTATTATCTTCATTTTATAGACAGGCAACCTGAGCTCCTTGAACCCAAGCATTCTGGCTCCAGAACCTGTGTAAGTGTAAACACTATGCTATCTGCCTCTTATTTTTCGTTTACTGCACGGATACATTTACAATATCTAATAGGCACACATAGTGGCTGACCTCAGCTGTAACCCTCCAAAAGTTCCCCTTCCATTGTAATGAATGGCCTCTATGTGCCCCTGAAGAGACCCAAACCTCCTCTTATCCCCTGAGTCTTATTTTCCTGAACTCACTCAGGTCTTGTTCCTTTAATTTTCCTCTCATGTACTGTCATTTTCTCATAGTCACTATATGAAATATTGTCACCTGGTCACTCTCTAACTTCTCTTTCTTATTTTTAAGGAAAATATTACTATCTAAAATTTAATTATATAATGATATTTGTCAGCTTGTTTATTGTTTGCCTCCTTCTGTAGATTATAACCTTCATAAAACAAGGATTCTTGCTGTGAGTTATTCCCTCGGTGTCTAGAACAGTGTCATGCATGCACTAGAAGAAAAATAAACATTTTAGATTACTGAATGAGGAAATAAATGAACAGATCCTGCTATTCTTTCCACACCTTTTCATTGTAATAAAAAATTATCTGAAATAAGCCCTGGCTTGTATTAAGATATATTTTTTGTACCCTGCATATATTTTTTATTTTAATGCAATGCATATATTATTTTAGTTTATAGACACCATAACAGCTATATAGAGCTATATATGCCTATTACTATTTAACATAAATGCACCACCAATTCTACTGCATTACTCCACTTGTCCCTATGAATTAGTCACATGAGCCCAAGTGGTTAGATCCAGGCTCTCCAATGTCCCTGCAATCAATTAAACAACACCCTGTTTTCCTTGCTCTCTTTCCATTATCTGTGAAACCACTTTAAATTCAGGTTTTATTATCTACATCGGTGTAAGCCCAAAGATTTGTAATAAACATATTCACCTATTTAAATCTATGATGTACTATGCCTTTTTAAAAATCTCACCATACTTAACCTCTCAAACCTGCTTAACAATTACATACATCTCTAAATGTAGCTTTGTGTCCCTTTCTTCCTCAGACTACAAAAGCAATTATGCTTTTAAAACTCTACGGCAAAAAACTAATCATAATAAACGAATGAAATGTCATTCTGATGGCAAGCTCCTAATAAGCTGCCAGGACAGAGCTTTTGAAGACATCAGTATTCACAAGACAGACCCCAATTCGCTGAGTCTACCAACAGGTTGCATGGTTCTCCCTACCATGTTAAGAAATACAATTGCTGAGGCTGCTGTGTAATCATAACAAAAGGTAGAAAAGATGCTGAGAGAAGGCTGTAATGATAGCATTTGGAATTTATTGCCTTCCAGTGAACATAATCTCTGGCTCTGCCTACAGAGTCACAGCTGACAAAGTCATATTGCCCCATATGGCTTTTCTCCGTGAAGCTTCATTGAGTATCATCCCAAGAGTGGCGGAAAGAGTTCTGCCTTTCTCTCCTGTTGTACCGAATATGGTGTCGTGATTTATAAGGAAAGATGTGCCTATTACTTTGGATCTGTTCAAGAGCCATTTAGAAAATATCAGGACAGCAAAGCATCCATGCACTAGACAGAAGTGTCTGGGGTATTTCTTTTAAACTGGTGTTTCTACTTGAATGAAAAGCATTGTTTCTAAACACTGTTTCTCTCTCTGATAGAGTCAGTAACAGGACATCAGGACTCTGAATGGCAGGATGCTTATAAACGGAGCCCAGCAAGGAGAAGATTCCATCCCTCCTCATCCCAGCAGGTTCTAGACTCAAATAGTACGGAAAGGCTGGTGGGAAGCATGAACAACAGCAACACTCATCTGTCACCCATTAAGTGGCAGTGAGGCCCTGAAGGTGAGCTTAGGCTGCCAACAGCAATGGACTTGCTCTTCTCTTCTCCTGGAAGTGTTCACACGTTGAAGGTGAGAATTCATTTACAGAATGAATATGGCTTCGCTCTCTAAACATCTTACTATACTGTACTCACCCTTCTTCTTGTGATTGAGAAAAAAAAATGGCACTGAGTGGTCACAGGAGGATGGAAAAACCCAAACAGGTAAAACAGGAACTAAGCAAAGAAATCACAGGATAACTGAAAACCCAAAATAAGGGAGAGAAAATGGCCAACACTTCAATCAAGGTGACATGTCCATGACTCATCAGGCAAACCAAGTAAGAGAAAGGCAGCAGTAACCCATGGTCTCCAACATCCCCTCCTTTCCCAGAATACTTAAGTACTTAGGTATCATTTAATACTGACCATGTGTCAACTCACTACTGCAACTCCGGAAGAGAAAGAAATACGCTCACTCTTATTCAGGCAGTGACATGACTCAATATTCCAGTTCTCAGAAGTATTCAATGGTTAAAATACGTATCCTTCAGGAACCAGTGCAGCAATTTGCAACCTATGTTCCCCAGGGATCAAGGGCCCAGGAGGCTTCCTCCTAGGCTGCCTTAGGGACAGGAGGTCACCTCAGAGGTATGGCTCAGGAGTCTCCTTTGTTCCAGCCCTCTCCCTCTGAGCAGCCCTTTTTATATGGTTGATATATTATGGCTCTAGAGCATAGTAGTCCCCCCTTGTCCATGGTTTGCCATGGTTTCTGTTACCCACAGTCAACTGTGGCTCAAAAATATTAAATGGAACATACCAGAAACAAGCAATTCATAAGCATTAAGTTGCGATTGTACTGAGTCGTATAATGAAATCTCGCTCTGCCCTGCTGCATCCTACCCAGGATGTGACTCATCTCTCCATCCAGCATCTCCACACCACAAATGCCCCTGCCTGTGAGTCCTTTAATAGCCATCTGGGTGATAAGATCATCTGTCCAGGCGTCACACTGCTTGTGTTCAAGTCACTCTTATTTTACCTCATGATGGCCCCAAAGCACAAGAGTAGTGATGCTGGTAATCTGGAGGTGCCAAAGAGAAGCTGTACAGTGCTCCCTTTAAGTAAAAAGGTGGGAGATCTGGACTTAATAAGAAACAAAATTGTGTGCTGAGGCGGCTAAGATCTACGATAAGAATGAGTATTCTACCTATGACGTGAGGAAGGAAAAAGAAGGCTGCTAGTTTTGTTGTAGCGCCTCAACCTGGAAACCTCAACCTCAACCTGGAAAAGTTTTGGCCGGGGTGTGTGCTAAATGACTGAGATGGAAAAGGTATTCAATTTGTGGGCAGAAGAGGAACAGAAATGTGCTTCCATTGACAGCAACATGTTGCACTGAAAAGCATCGAACCTGAACAAAGATTTCGGCAGGAAATTCCCTGAAAGAAGTGATGCCAAGCCACTGACTGCAAGGGAGAGATGGTTATATGGGTTCGGGAATAGGGAAGGTCACTGGTAGCCCAATGTCTGTGTCATTCACCTTTCATCCTCTCCTCATGTAGTCATTGTACCATCTCACATCATCAGGTTGCCAGAGGGCTCATGAGGGTTTCCAGATGCCAGGGATACCCCAGCCCCAGCCAGTGTCCAGGTTCTGGACACCATCCCAAGAAAGAATTCAGGGACGCATCAGAATGGAATGAAAGGCAAGAAGCTTTTATTACAGAAAGGAAGCTCACATTTAGAGAAATGCAGGCACGCTGGTGAGAACCAGTCATGCCCAACAGACACTGGGTTTCTAGTTTTATGGATATTTCCTTAGGTAGTGGAATAATGATTAAGTATTCTGAAAAATGAGGGGGTTGGGGGAACTATGGTTACCGCCCCCTCTCTCTCTTACTTGGGTTTGCCTGAAGACTCATGGACATGTCACCCTGACTACAGATTTGGCCGTTTTCTCCTCCACATTTTGGATTTTGTTATCCTGAGATTTCTTTGCCTAGCTCCTGTTTTAGCTGTTGTTTGGCTTTTTCCATCTTCCTGTGACTACCCAGTGCCATTCCTATCTCAAGTCCAAGAAGAAGGGCAAATACAGCACCATAAGATACTTAGAGAAGCCATATTTGTATAACTTTGTTATAGCATACTGTTATGATTGTTCTATTTTAGCTATTGTTAATCTCTTACTGTGCCTAATTTATAAATTAAACATCATAGATAAGTATAGGAAAAATGTAGTATACATAAAATTTGGTACTAGCTGTGGTTTCTGGCACCCACTGTGGAGTTTGGAACATATTCCCTGCAGGTAAGGGGAGACTACCCTACAGTATTTTATTGTTGTTAACGTGAAGGCTGCTATCTGGTAATTTGTGCAGGTACTAGTAAAACTTTAGCCCCATAGATGCACACTACCTAGTTTACCTCAAGGAGCTCTAAATATATTTAGCTAAATATATTTAGCTACATGGACAACTGTGAGATCTTAAGAGGAAACACACTATTGAAAATATTTATGTGACTTTTGTTACATAAGACACTGTTTTGTTCCTGTGCTAAGTATACAGTTAGAACTGGATAAAGACAGCCAGAGTTCTTGGAACAGACTGTGTTCTCAGACATTAACTTTACGGAGAAAGGATACGTTTGGATCCATGGCATGTGACCTATCAGCAAGTTGGTTACCTGGAAGTGAACGGAAAGGATCTGATGGCCTCTACAGTCATCTCCGAGTCAAGCACTTGGAAATCAGGTCAGGTCTTCACCACACACAGGCCACGTCCGACACCACAGCCTGGTCTCCCCAGTCCTTATCCAGTGGGTGTCGCAGGCTTGGCTGGCCACTCCCTTCCGGTGGGTCTTGGAAACATCTCCATTTCTTATCCCACCTGTCCTTCTACTTCTTTTAGGCCTCCTTTGTGGACTCTCTTCTGCTACCTCTAAAAGACTGGTGCTGTCCACCAGGCAGAAAGGGTAGACAGGGTTCAGCTAGATACCGGAGCCTCTTTTACTCATGGGAAGAGTGTGTGGAGCCCTGGAGAAAAATGCCAAGGCCTGACCCAGAGACATAGGTCCACAGAGGACTTTGGAGTCTGCCTGTTAAGGCCAAGGAAGGGAGACAAGGAAATGAGAGTGAGGAGAGACAGCAGGGACAGTGGGCAGCTGTGCGAACAGGAGAATTCAAAAGAGCTCTGCAGAGAAACAGAACCAGTAGGATCTCTCTCTCCCCGTTTCTCCGAACCACAGTCTATAAGCTACACACCTGAGGATCATCCTTGCTGCTTTCCTCTCACTGCCCAAATAAAATTGATTAGGTCTCGTTAATATTACCCTCCACTGACCTCCAGTCCCACCACTCTTCTCAAGGTCTCCTGTGAGTGCATCAGTCTAGCTGCTTTTTCCTTGCCTCCATCTTACAATAGCCTGCCGACTTATTTCACATTTCTCCTTTCACATCATCCTTTTCTCTTCCACCGAATTCTTCATGCAATTTTCATATCACTGCTTCAATTCACATTGCCCAGCACCACCACTGTAGCTTTCAGGATAAACACCAAATCCTTTCCATGACACAGAGGGCCCTTGGTGGTCAGGACCCTCAGCTTCACGCCCTGGTACGTGCCACACTACAGCATGCATCCATTCATTGAGTAAGAGTACTACCCTTTTCAGCTGAAAATGACAAGTACTATTCTCTGTAAACACCTATTGCAAAAAAGTTTGTTGATCTAGATAGCATATCACTGGTTAAAGAAATTATACTGCTTTGTCCCCACACATAGCTATGCACACAACATGCAAAATAAACATTCATTGAGTAAGAGTACTACCATGATTTCTACTGGTACTAAGAGAACTGGTTCAGCTCTTTTTTTTTCTTTTCTCTTTTTGTGATTGTATAAAACAAAACTGGTAGACTTCAAGTAATTTTTATTAAGATTCTTTGTACAGTGGTTTTTCACCCAAGTGAACATCCTTCATAATCACTAGTTGTTAATGACTAACTGTTAACTTTTTGATGTTCTCTAGGATTAGCTGTTAACTTTTGCCAACTTAATAGGCACAGTTCAAAAATATGGAATACAAAGTATATTTTTAAGAAATAATTATTTAGTGGAGAATTACCTAAACAGATTTTTTATACTTGCTAAACTCACACCTTCTTGACCAACCGTGTACATTATTCAGGCCTGAAAGAATGCTTCAGGTTAAGATTGAATGAAAATGTAAGAGGTGATTCGATTCACGTTCATCTTTGACCAAAGCTGACAATTTCAGAATTAAAATTTGAATCTGTCTTTGCTTTCAAGTTTGGTCCTAATACTGCATAATTTTGTAGACTAGTTTTTTCCCCCTACCTTTCAAACTACAAAACGGAATGTTGGCACGCAAAGGTCACCTCAGCCAGCCAGTTTTTCACAAAACATGGCGTGGTGACATTTGAATTCAACCTTGTGTCTGCTGAGCTGCCCACCAGCCTCACTTTGACAGATCTGAGTATGATGGATGCAGATTTCCATCCAAAAGGTTTGGCTAGGCCTCAGCAGTAATATAACCTTTCTTAAAGGTTATTTTTAACCACTTGCTAAAAATTCCTAGAGGAAGAAAAAGTGACATGCCCTTTAGTAAAATGAATACAATAATATACCTACAATTGATACCTCTGCAGTAGAGTTTGGCCAATTGCCGAAGAACTTACTCCTTAATAACCAGGGGCTGTCCAGTCCCTGCCAGGCACCTTGAGTGAGGGCCTGAATTAAAGACTATGCTGAAACTAAGCCTAACTCAAATTCTGAAACAAAGAAAGGGGTGAGGGGAAAAAAGTCTCTAAGGCAGTTTTTGAAAACCCTCTATTATATTGTCAATTAGCTCTGATACTGTTTTTATAAAGTCAAACCAAATATAATGCAAAGGATTTATTCATTAGGAATATAATCGACTTGGTGAAGGTTAATCTAACAGTTAAACAATGTTTCGTTCTATTTTCCAAAGACTTTAATAGAATTCCACCCCTGAAAGACAAAGTAGAAGAAGTGCAATCAGCACATTGACTGGACCAACAAAATTAGCAGCACTCCATTTGAGATAATAACCCAAAATTATTTCCCAAATAAGACTCCATGTACTTTTAAAATTTGTTAGTGACTGGTTAAGAAAACAAACAAAAGAAAAGATTGTGCAAATATAATTAATCTAGTTGACAGAATTTTGGTAACACAGATTTTATTCTGACAGCATCAAAGCCAATGCATTGCCATTTTTAATTCACAAGTAAAAAGTGTATTATTCCAGGGTCCTCCAGTTATTAAAGTAATAAGAGTAATTAACAGCGCCATGCTGGGTACACATGGCTTGGACTGTACGTTTCTGGGTTTGGGTAAATGGGTGGCAGTGATCAAAGCCCTCTTCCTGAATCCCTGTTGCCTCACACTGTGGTAGCTGTGGCTACAGAGAGTCCCCAAAGACAACTCTGAAGAAGACATAAGCATCTGGGAAGATTTTCCCCACTCTTTCACAGGAGAATTAGAAACCTAAGTGATGGCCCTATGGCAATGCTCAGAGAAATTAACAGTGTAAACAAAGTGCAACTGAATATTATTTTTTTCTGAGTTCAAGGTAATGCTTTTGTCTAAAAGTCATTTGATTTTTTCAATATTTCTACTCCAAAAAGTAAATCTATTTCATTCATTTCTTTTTTTGAAAAACATTAGGTGTGATTTGTTTGTTACTTTACATTTAAAAAGAGTAATTTTTTCAAGCCATTTAACTAGTGTAAAACGCTAGGGGACAAAATGCCCATGTTTTGACAGGCTCGTCACTCAAGAAGAAAAAAAAAAAACCAAAAAACCCTACTACACTCTTTTGTTTAAGCTACTTATGCAAATGTTAATTTTATTATTATTTTTGTTTTGAGACAGAGTTTCACTGTCATTGCCCAGGCTGGAGTGCAATGGCTTGAGCTCAGCTCCCTGCAACTTCCATCTTCCAGGTTCAAGAGGCTCTCTTGTCTCTGCCTCCTGAGTTGCTGGGACTACAGGTGCCTGTCACTACACCTGGCTAATTTTTGGTATTTTTAGTAAAGAAGGGGTTTCATCACGTTGGCCAGGCTGGTCTCGAACTCCTCACCTCAGGTGACCCACGCACCTCCACCTCCCAAAGTGCTGAGATTACAGGCATGAGCCAGCCACCACGCCTGGCCAATATTTTTTTAAATGAATCTATTTGGTGTTAGCATCCATGTAGATGCTAAGCTTAGGTCCGCCTCAGAAAAACTGTTATTGTAAAACACATGACATGTGAAAACCTAATTAATATCTCAGTTTATAAATCAGTGCTCCCAGCTTTATTGCTTATACAATGATATCTAAAAGAAGAAAAGTATTCAAGGCAGAAGCCCCACACTGGAGGTTCTTAAATCTGTTTCCTGCCTCATTCTTTAGCTGTGTGAATGTAGAACATTTGACAATCAGGATGGGGGGCGGGGTGTCTGATATGTTTTCGTATATGGAGATGCAATATAAAAATTTCCCATTTTATGGATTTTTCTAGAAAGCACAGAGCATGACTTCAGATGCATTAAACTCTGTTAATATGACTGTTGCAATATGCTCACTGGCACACGTGCACTGCGGGGAGATGGTGGTGGTGAGCTTAGGGCTCCGTGAGGATTCCCATGTGCACCACGTTGCCAGAGGGCATAAATACTCCTGGCTCCAAGCTGGTAAGTCAGAGCATCTGTGCCTTCCAGCCATGAACATTATTTTAGGTCCAAGAACCTGGGGCACTCAAGAAAATGAGTTGGGTTGAAACAATACTTGCAAAAAGTAACATTTTAATAAATACTATATACAAAATCTTTAAAGAAAAACTTTATAGATTTTGATGTAGTATAAAATTACATATTTTATTAAAATTTCCCCATCCGGCTTTCAATCATATAGGATTTATGATAGATATGGGTGAATAGATGGGTGGGTAGACAGAAAAATGATTGGATGGTGAATACTTCGTATATACAACGCAGGATATTGTTTGGAGCAAAAATGCCAGGCCCTACTTCTCAAAGGTGAGACTTGAAATAACAGAATGAAGGCAGAAGCCCTTTCTCTTGAGGGAAAGTCATACAATTTTAACCCTTTGTTAGAAGAGACCCTTCTTGATCATGGACTTTGGCCAATGAAGAATTCTAGATAAAAGTGCCTAGGGGACAGGATGGCACACACACAAAAAAGTAAAATGCATTGAGAAAAGATGGGAAATCAATCTGGAGAATGGGAATGGGTCCAAATACTTCAGTCTCTAGAATAACTAGTATGAACTTTGTAATGCAGAAATCTGAAGAAAATAGAGGTTCATGATAAGGGGTCATGTTTGTATTTTAGGGAGATAATGTTAGCAGTCATACAAAGAAAACTTAGAAAATGCTGAAACATTGTGCACAAATAATGAAAATGGATAGTAAGGGACAGACCTGAGGGACAGTCCTTAAGTCCAATGGAAGGTCCTGATGGATGACTGAAGGAAAGGGACAGAGGAGCACGGCCAGCGTGGGAAGCTGGGAGCACAGTGAGAATCTTGCCTGAGTGAATTCAGGAGAAAAGACAAGAAATTTAGCTGGAGGGGAGGCAGTTCACAGAATTTAGAAAGTGTTAATATTGAAGACGCTGTGAAATATTCAAGCAAAGAAATGTCTTATAAATTTTTGGAAATATAGGTCTGCCATTTCAGAGAGAGGCTGCTGTTGTATATTTATGAGGCACCCGCAAAGTCAACAACCTGAAGAATGGGTGAAGAGAAAAAGGGATCATTAATATTTAAAGCCTCAGTGAAGGAAGCTGAACCAAAGAAGGGAAGCAAAAAGGATTGTCGGAATCCTGTTAGCGGGGTCAGCATAGGCGGGTGCTCCGGAAGCCCAAGGAAAAGCGGGTCTTTAAGAAATGGGGGAGAAAACATTGGATCAAATGTTATAGAAAACCATTATTAGTGTAGCCAAAAAAAGTAGCATACAATTTGCCAAATAAAAAGTCCACATTGCCAAATAAGGCAGCATCATTATATTTAGGAAAAGTTTGATTGTGATATGCCAGACAGTGGATGAGAGCAGTTGAAAGTTAAAGACATTGGAGATAACCCAGTGGATAAAGTCAACCCCCTCTTTCTTGTATCCCTATTTTGGGGGTGGAATCCTAAATTGAGGTGTATGGAGAGAATTTCGTAGTTTCATCATGAGAAGAAGGAAGAAGATATTGCTTAAACAGGAAGGTGTGGTGAAAAGGAGGAATTTTAGGATGAGGGAAATAAGTGCATATATGGCCTAAAAGAAGAAAAGATAGAGAAGGTTTCCTTAAGGGCCCTAAGAATAAACAGAAGCCTAATGACAGAGGGAGTGATAGCTGTTCCTCTCTCTTCCCACGCATGACAAAGTGCACACAGCTCTGATGATTCTCTACCTGCAGTCACAGAAATTCCCAAGCAAATACACAAAGGTGCTGGGATCTCAGGGAGGACACTGTAGGTGTCCTGTAATCCTGACATTGCTGCCCAGGGGAACAGCCTGGAAAGTGCTGGGGGTCTGCATGATGGGCAGATGCCTCAGGAAAGAAAGAGTATCCTTGCACCCAGGAAGAGTGCACACATCCTGCCTCTGTTTACCCATGTCTCTAGAAGCAGACACCATCACTGGGCCCTGAATCTCACACTGAAGAAAACTACATCCCAGAAAGTATCCACAGTTTAATTTTAAAGTCCTTCATTAGAATTTCAAGCACAGAGTTTAGCATGTGGGCGACAATGAAAATCTTGAACTGACTTGAATGGACTAGAAAACTCTCATCAGCGATAACCACTACACAAGCAGGCAATGAGTGAGTTAGCCAGGTTGTATGTAAACTTCCGTTTCTGGTACCTTACCACAAACAGACATATTTTGCTGCTGTTCTCAGGTAGAGCAGTTGCGTTAATTACGCTCCCTAGTACACGGTGCATTGTGTTCAGCAATGGTTGCAAGATTTCTCCTTTCTTGTTTAGCTCTGTTTTTGTTCTCTTGTCTGTGTCTTCATCTCAATTCCTCTTTCTCCCAATAGACATCTACCTCCTCTAATAATGTGTTTGAAATAGATCCTCCAATATGTGTGTGTCCTTGTAAAATAGTGTTGTTTGTAATTTACATAAGATTGTACAAAAAATTTCCCTGCTGTTTACCTTTTCATCTCGGTACTGTTTTTAAAATCCATCCATGTTGCTGAATGTATAGTCTGTCACTACAATGCAAATTAGCTCAGACATAAATGGTAAAGAGGGGAATGATGTCAAGATAACAAGTTAACATAGCTTCATATGCAATTTGCCCAGCTTTCTCTTGTTTATGACCATCAAATAAGAGCTACTGAGCACAAAACATACAAATCCAGGTGAAAGATGCAAGCATTGAGGACCACAGTAGCGTTCCCAACATCCGTATACCTCACATGCTTCCTCTTGTCTTGGCTTAACCACCTCTTCCACGGGCACGTTGATACATGCTTCTCTTCAATCTTTGTGCCTTTTATTCCATCTCCAAATTCAGCAGGCTAAGCAATCATACTTTCTCCCACCATTTACATTTAATTAAGATAAATCCTTATGTGGACCTTAATAGTTTTGTAGTAGTCAAAATCTGATATTTCTTAGCTGTAAATACAACCAGTAGAATAATTATTGCTATTCACAGTATTTTTGAGAATGACAGTACATAACGTTTTGAGTGGCCTGCCCCAATCCTATTTTTCTCCCAAGCTGCTATTTTTAGGGTATGACTTTGCTGAACATGAGGTTTTGAGTATTCAAATCTCATTTAAAACAGAAAAATCTGTACATCAAAACCATTGTGTCTAGGTTGCGTAGCGAGTTAATCGTGAACCTCCATATGCATCTTCAATATTTACTTACCACTGACCTAGTCATTCATATTAAGGTCATCTCCAAATTCCCAAACATTCAATGATTAAGTATAAATTCTAACAGGAGACCGTTTCTTTCCTCAAGG